CCCAGGTTGGTCTTGAACTTCTGGTCTCAAGCAATCCTTCCACCTCAGCCTTTCAAAGGGATGGGATGGATGGCAGGCATGAGCCACTGCATCTGGCCAAAAATGCCTTTACTCTTTACAAGACTGAACTACTATAATAAATTACATTCTTCAGTTTTATTATTTATTTATTTATTTATTGTTTAGATGGAGTCTCACTCTGTCACCCAGGCTGGAGTGCAGTGGTGCCATCTCAGCTCACTGCAAGCTGTCCCTTCCAGGTTCAAGCGATTCTTCTGCCTCAGCCTCCCTAGTAGCTGAGATTATAGGTGTGTGCCACCATGCCTGGGTAATTTTTGTATTTATTTTATTTTATTTTATTTTATTTTATTTATTTATTTTTTTGAGACGGAGTTTCGCTCTTGTTACCCAGGCTGGAGTGCAATGGCGCGATCTCGGCTCACTGCAACCTCTGCCTGCTGGGTTCAGGCAATTCTCCTGCCTCAGCCTCCTGAGTAGCTGGGACTACGGGCACGCGCCACCATGCCCAGCTAATTTTTTGTAGTTTTAGTAGAGACGGGGTTTCACCATGTTGACCAGGATGGTCTCGATCTCTTGACCTCGTGATCCACCCGTCTCGGCCTCCCAAAGTGCTGGGATTACAGGCGTGAGCCACCGCGCCTGGCATTTTTGTATTTTTAATGGAGACATGGTTTTACCATGTTGGCCAGGCTGGTCTCGAACTCCTGACCTCAAGTGATCCACCCACCTCAGCCTCCCAAAGTGCTGGGATTACAGGTGTGAGCCACATGCACAGCCACCTAATTCTCCTTATCACCCCCCATTAGGCGTCTACTCATTTATTTAGTGCGTGTCTTTGAATCTACCTTTCATTCCTTTTTTTCTTTCTTCATGTATCCATGATCAATACATTAGAATATTTTGCATATTTTACATTTCAGAACAGTATTGTAGTGTACATCTCACTCTGCTTCTTTCACTTTTTCTCGCCAAACATTGTGTTAGTAAATTCTATTCTGCTTTTATATATGAGTTGGAATTTAAAACAACGTATGGTGACTTAGTTCATTCTTTTTATCTACATTTATTGTATATACATTTCACAATGTTTTTATCATAGAAGATATTTTTCCTAATTTTTTGCTGTAATGAATAGCCTGGAATATGTCATTTTACGTATCCTTTGCAGAATTATTTTTGTAATATATTTCGAGGTATTGAAACTAGATCATAGGTTATACACGTATTCAATTTCACTAGACACTTCTAAATCGCCCTACAAAATGTACTCACACCAGCAGCTCATGATGCTCTTCATTTCCTGCCACTTGACTAGCACTTGATTTTTTTTGAGATGGAGTTTTCGCTCTTGTCACCCAGGCTGGAGTGCAATGGCACTGTCTCAGCTCACTGCAACCCCTGCCTCCCAGGTTCAATCCATTCTCCTGCCTTTGCCTCCTGAGTAGCTGGGATTACAGGTACCCACCACCACACCCAGCTAATTTTTGTACTTTTAGTAGAGACAGGGTTTCATCATGTTGGTCAGGCTGATTTCGAACTCCTGATCTCAGGTGATCCACACGTCTTGGCCTCCCAAAGTGCTGGGATTACAGGCATGAGCCGCCGCACCTGGCTACTAACACTTGATATTATCCAAATTGTAAATCTTGCTGCTTGAGTCAAGTGACGTAAGGTGATAGCTATTATTTTTCCATTTTCTGTTTGATTATTTGGAATTTTAATTGATTCTAGGATCTCTAGAATTACAAAACTGCAGGATCCATAGGTTTATAGATATGCAGAAAATGTTCTTGCCACGCAGAAAATTTTTGTTTAGTCTAATATATAATCTTGTCTTCCATGACTTCGTATTTTGGGCCTTGGCTTTCCCTGCTCCAAAATTTTTGTTTGTTCTCTTTTCATGTTTATATTATTGTTCTTTTTTCATATTGATATTAATTTTTTGTAGGTAGTATTTTACCTTTAACACTTTAATGTATCTGCATGTTATTAGATTAAGAATGAGGTGGGAATTCAACTTTACCTTTTCCAAATAACTATCCAATTGTCCCAATACTATTTATTGAACAATCCATCTTTTCTTTACTAAAATAATAGTTTTATATCTCCCTTTGCAATACTTTTATGCATTATTTTTTTCTTTCTTTGGTTTTCAGAGTTACTTATGTAATCTGAATACAAGTTTTTAGAAAATCAAATATGTGATTTGCAAATGTTTTCCTCTAATTCATAACTTATCTTTTCACCTCTTAAAAGTGTCTTTTGAAAGAGGAAGTTCTTGATTTTTGGTGAAGTCCCATTTATCATTTTACTTCTTTTATGGATCATGTTCTTGGTGTTAGAAATCTTTGTCTCACCCAAGGTCACAAGGATTTTCTGCCTGTTTTTTTTTTGTCAGAAGTTTTATAGTTCTAGGTTTTATATTTCGTTTTATGATCAATTTTGAGTTAAGTTTTGTGTATAATGCGCAGTATGGATTGAAGTTCTTTTTTTAAAATTTGCATGTAGGTATTCAACTGTTCTTTATTGAAAAGGCTATCCTTTCTCTACTGCATTGCTCTTGTACCTTTGTGAAAAATCAATTGACCATATGTATGTGAGTCTATTGATGAATTTGTCAGTCTGTTCAATGGATTTATTTCTCTGTCTTGATGCCTATACTATATGGCCTTGATTACTGTAGCTTTATAATAAATCTTGAACTTCTATGAGCTTTTTGAATGTATTCTTTTTTTCAAAGTTATTTTGGCTATTCTAGGTCTTTGGCATTTCCATATGATGTTTAGACTCAAACTGTCAATTTTTTTTCCAAGGTGGAGTCTCTCACTGTCACCAGGCTGGAGTGCAATGGCGTAATCTCGGCTCACTGCAACCTCTGCCTCCCGGGTTCAAGCAATTCTCCCTCAGCCACCTGAGTAGCTGGGATTACAGGTGCCCGCCACCATGCCCAGCTAATTTTTTGTATTTTTAGAAGAGATGGGGTTTCACCATCTTGGCCAGGCTGGTCTTCAACTCCTGACCTCATGATCCACCCACCTCAGTCTCCCAAAGTGCTGGGATTATAGGCGTGAGCCACCGCACTGAGCCACATTGTCAATTTTTATAGAAAAGATGGCTGTGATTTTGTTTGGGTTGCATTGAGTCTACAGATTAACTTTGGAAGTAAAATCTTAATATGAAATCTTCTAACCCATAAACAATGTATAGTATGTTGTCTCATTTATTTAGACCATCATTAATTTCTTTAAGCAATATTTTATCTTTTTCAGTGTATAGGATGTGCATATCTTTGGTCAGATTTATCCCTCAGTATTTTACAATTTTTGGTGTCACTGTAAATGGTGTTTTAAATTTAATCTTTTGGCTGTTCATTGCTAGTGTTATGCGTTGAATTGACCCTTCCTTCCAAGAGATATATTGAAGCCCTTACCCCTGGTACCTGTGAATGTGACTCTGTTTGGAAACAGAGGTCTTTGCAGATGCAATTGATGAAGATGAGGTAATGGAGTAAGATGGGCTCTTAATCCAATATAGTTGGTGCCCTTTAAGAAGAGGGAAATTTGGACATAGACACATAGGGAGGAAAGATGGTACAGAGTCCCAGAGAGAGAATCCAGCCAAATGACAATAGAGGCAGAGAACGGTGTGATGAATTTACAAACCAAGGAATGCCATGGATTGTCAGAAAACACCAGGAGCTGGAAGAAGCAAGAAAGGACTCTCCCCTAGATCATTCAGAGAAACCATGGCCCTGCCAACACCTTGATGTCAGATTTCTAGTCCCCATCACCTTGGTAATGAGTGTTTATCATTTTCAAGCTCTGGTATCATTTCAAGTCCTCTTCTCTAGTTACTGTGAAATATACATAATATTGTTGCTAAGTTTAGTCACCCTAGTCTGCTATCAAACATTAGAACTTATTTCTTCTCGCTAACTGTATGTTTGTACCCATAAGCAATCTATCTTTATCCTTTCCTTCCCCTCCACACTTTCTAGGCTTTGGTATTTTATTTGGAGATTTTCTGGATCTCTTTGTATTATTGATATTTAATTTAATACCATTATAGCCAGGGAATATATTTTATATAATCTGATTCCTTTTAAATTGATCACTACGTATTTTATGGCTGAAGATATGGTCTATCTTGGTAAATTATCCATGAGCGATGTTCTTGAAAAAAATTCTGCTGTTGGAGGGAATGTTCTATAGTCAATTGAGTCAAATTACTTGATACCTAGCTGGTCAAATCTTTTATATCTTTACTGATTTTCTATTTGTTCTGTCTATTATTAAGGATGGGTATTGATATTACTGATTATCATTGTTGGTTTGCCAATTTCTCCTTCTAGTTCTGTTGGTTTTTGTTTCCTGGTATACACACACACACACACACACTCTTATACACACACACACACACACAGAGAGAGAGAAAAAGAGAGAGAGAGAGAGAAAGACAGAGACAGAGACAGAGATAAAGAGAGAGTCTTACTCTGTTACCCAGGCCAGAGTGCAGTGGCACAATCATGGTTTACTGCAGCCTCTACCTCCCCAGGCTCAGGTGATCCATCTCAGTCTCCCAGGTAGCTGGGACTACAGGAGTGAGCCACCATGCCCAGCTAATGTTTTGTATTTGTATTTTTATTTATTATCATTATTTTTTCTTTTGAGACTGAGTCTCACTCTGTCACCTGGGCTGGAGTACAGTGGCATGATAGCTCACCGAAACCTCCGCTTCCCAGGTTCAAGTGATTTTTATGTCTCACCCTCTACCTCCCGAGTAGCTGAGACTACAGGTGTGTGCCACCACAACCGGCTAATTTTTGTATTTTCAGTATAGACGGGGTTCCACCATGTGGCCCAGGCTGGTCTCAAACTCCTAGGCTCAGGTGATCCACCCACCTTGGCCTCCCAAAAGTGCTGGGATTATAGGTGTGAGCTATTGTGACTGACCCAGAGTTTTTTGTTTTTTTAATTCAGCCTCCGTAGAGACTGTCAAAAATTGTTAATGCTGACTATGTTGCAAGTCATCGTGGTAGGGTACTGGAAAAAGTTTTCAATTAGCAATAGTTGTGCCTCAGATAAACCTCATTGGCTGTGATACTTGCCACTGTGCAAAGCTGTATGTACTTAGAATCTCTGTTATTGGGTACATAAACATTTAGAATTATTATGTCTTCTTGATGAATTGACCTCTTTATCATTATGAAATGATTCTTTTTATCTCTGGCAATATTCTTTGCTTTGAAATCTACGTTATTAGTGTAGCCATTCCAACTTTATTTTGATTAGTATTAGCATGGTACATTTTTCCATCCCTTTACCTTTAACCTATTTGTGTCTATATTTAAAAGGTTTTCTTTTAGGCAGTATACAGTTAGATATTACTTTTATAATTGAATCTGACAAGTTATGCTATTTAATTGGAGTATGTATGTATGTATGTATGTATTTTGAGACCGAGTCACCCAGGCTGGAGTGCAGTGGTGCAATCTTGGCTTACTGCAACCTCTGCCTCCCAGGTTCAAGTCAGTCTCCTGCCTCAGTGTCCTGAGTAGCGGGGATTACAGGTACACCCCACCACACCTGATTAATTTTTGTATTTTTAGTAGAGACAGGGTTTCACCACGTTGGCCAGGCTGGTCTTGAGCTCCTGATCTCAACTGATCTGCCCTCCTTGGCTTCCCAAAGTGCTGGGATTACAGGCATGAACCACTGTGCCTGGCTTTTAATTGGAGTATTTAGACCACTTATATTTAATGGAATTATTGATATAGCCTGGTTTCAATTTTTGTCTTGTTATTTGTTATCTATTTGTACCATCTATCTTTATTTCTTCTTGCCTCTTTTTCTCAGGAGCATAAATAACTGAAATTCAACATAGTGAATATGGCCAGGCATGGTGGTTCATACCTGTAATACTAACACTTTGGGAGGCTAAAGCAGATGAATCAGTTGAGGTCAGGAGTTGGAGATCAGCCTGGGCAACACGGCGAAAACCTATCTCTCCAAAAAATACAAAAGTTAGCTGGGCATGGTGGCAGGTGTCAACTACTCGGGAGGCTGAGGTGGGAGGACCACCTGAGCCTGCGGAGGTTGAGGCTGCAGTGAGCTGAGATCATTCCACTGCACTCCAGCCTGGGCAACAGAGCAAGACCCTGTCTCAAAAAAAAAAAAAAAAAAAAAAAAAAAGACAAAAGACAAAATAGTGAATACGGTGGGAGGGATTTGGAGACATATTTGGGATTTTATAGAAAAGAGATTAAGTCAAACTGATGATGTCAGGAATGACTTAAGAAAATATTTGAATTGAACCTTGAAATATTTTAGATATGAGTGATGGGGCAAGGAAGGTGCTCCATATAGAGGGAATAGGATGAACAACGGGATTTGGGGCAGCAAAGCATGTGTTTGGGCTACGGGATAATTAATTGATTGTCCAGATGGCCTGAGAAAGAGTGGCAGGAGAGATGTGGGAAGCACTTATGTTATTAACAGCTTCCTATGGATGTCCCTACCCTGATAGCCCACAGATATCTGAGATAGCTCTCAAACCCAAAATATTATCTACCCTTTAAACCTGCTGTCTCAGTAGCCCCTAATTTTATGTGTGGCATCATCATCTTCCTTCATATCAATACCAGAAGACTCTGAGTCATTTTAAATGCCTCTTTGTTCCTCAACCCCATTCATCCCACCTGCAGGTCATCTTTCATATTTGAGCTTTCTTTTTTTATTTTTCAAGATAGAGTTTTGCTCTTGTTGCCCAGGCTGGAGTGCAATGGCGCAATCTTGGCTCACTGCAACCTCCGCCTCCCAGGTTCAAGCGATTCTCCTGCCTCAGCCTCCCAAGTAGCTGGGATTATGGGCATGCACCACCACGTCTGGCTAATTTTGTATTTTTAGTAGAGACAGGGTTTTACTATGTTGGCCAGGCTGGCTGGTCTCGAACTTCTGACCTTGGGTGATCCAACTGCCTCGGCCTCCCAAAGTGCTGGGATTACAGGCATCAGCCACCGTGCCTGGCAACGAGCTTTCTTTTCTATCCTTATCTATCCCCATAGTCTTGGAGCCAGGCTCAACTCCCCTCCCCTCCTCTGCCCTCTAAACTATTTTGTTACCCTTCTTACTGATTTTGCTACTTCTAGATTCTTTTCTTTTTAAACCATGCCACACATAGCCCTCTGTATGCCCTGAGAATGGATGTGAAGCTCTGTGTGTATACATATGTACATTCTCCTGGGGAGAGCTTGTCGCTTTCATCGAAGTCTCAAAAGTCCACAAAAGGCTAGGAGTCACTACCCTGTAACTTTATTTCAGATGAAACCATGCTCAGTTAATGTGGTGCAGTTGACAGACTACTGAACAGTAAGTTGGGAGACCTGGGTTATAGTTCTGGTGCTGCCACTAATTAGCCGTCTGATTTGGGGCAACGAGGCACCTACTTTGCACCTGTTTCCTCATCTGTAAAATTCAGAAAGTCTCTTCCAACCTCAAAATGCTGTTATTGAGAAATCACCATACAATTGTTATTAAGAAATTACCACATAAAGTCACAGATGCTAAAACAAAGGTATGCAGAGCTTTGAGAGCACAAAGGAGGTTCTCTGGGTGTGGCGTCATCCAGCTTTGCTTGGGAAAGTTGGTAAGGAGTTGCAGAGGAGGCCACACTTGAGTCTTGAAGGATGAACAGAACTTTCCAGGCAGGAAGAAGGAGGAAGTTATTTTAGGAAAAGGAAACTGTGAGAAGGAGAGAAGTAATAGAGCCACAAGCTGGCAGAACAATGAGTAGATGGGTATAGTTTCGATGTATGTGTGTTGAAAGTGTGGGCTTTAAATGCACAGGGAGCACTAGGAGAGAAGCCTGGAGAAGGGGAGCAAGCTGGAGTCTGAAGGTTCTTACATACGGTGCCAAAAAGTTTTGACTTCATCTTGCAGACAGTGGGAAGCCATGGATTGTTTTAGGTAAGAGAGTGACAGGCTGATTTCCCTTTCATAAAGATCATATTGGCGGCTGGGAGTGGTGGCTCATACCTGTAATCCCAGCACCTTGGGAGGCTGAGGCAGGTGGATCACCTGAGATCAGGAGTTTGAGACCAACCTGACCAATATGGTGAAACTCTGTCTTTACTAACAACATGAAAATTGCCGGTCGCGGTGGCTCAAGCCTGTAATCCCAGCAATTTCGGAGGCCAAGGCGGGTGGATCACGAGGTCAAGAGATCGAGACCATCCTGGTCAACATGGTGAAACCCCATCTCTACTAAAAATACAAAAAATTAGCTG